TTTTTTTTTTTTTTAAGATTTTATTTATTTGAGTGAGAGACAGCACAAGCAGGGGAAGGGACAGAGGGAGAGGGACAAGCAGACTCCCTGCTGAGCAGGGAGCTCCCTGCGGGGCTTGAGCCCAGGACCCTGAGATCATGACCTGAGCCGAAGGCAGATGCTTAAGTTGTGAAGTCAGCTGAGCCACCCAAGTACCTACCTACCTTTCTTTCTTTCTTTCTTTCTTTCTTTCTTTCTTTTTTTTTTTTTCTTCCTTCCTTCCTTTCTTTTTTAAGATTTATGTATTCATTATTTTAGAGAGAGAGAGAGCAGGGGTGGGTGTAGGGGGAGGAGCAGAGGGAAAGGAAGAGAGACTCAAGCAGACTCCAAGCTGAGCATGGAGCCTAATGTGGGGCTCCATCTCACCACCCCAAGATCATGACCTGAGCTGAAATCAGGATTTGGACGCTCAACCCACTGAGCCACCCAGGAGCCCCTGGACAAGGGGCTTTCTAAGATCCGTTCTACTTCTGCAATTCTAGGTGTCCAGATGTGACCTTGAGTGACTTTTCCCAAGGCCTGGTGATTTTCTAGTGGGGGAGTGGGGCTGATTTCATGTGGAGGAAAGGCAGAGCAGAGAACGCTGTCTGGGGGCATCTGAAGGAGCAGGGGTCTCTGGGGTATCAGAGACAGGCTATTTCGGCAGAGGAAAATGAAAAACAAAACAAACAAAACAAAACCTGACAGTGGGAGAGGCTTAAATTGCAGGTAGCGTCCAAAAAAGACCGGCTAGAACAGAGAGTTGGGGGGTGGTCTCTAATTAGTAGGGGCTTTGAGGAAGGGCAAAGACAAGTGCCAGGCTTGAAAGGCCAGGAGGAGCTGGGATTGGGTGCTGGGTGCTGACCCAAGGTCCTTTGCTGCCACTGTAGGCCAGACCTGGATCCCCAGGGGCCAGGAACATGGGCTGCCCAGTGATCATGCTCTTGCAAAGACAGTGGTTTGGGGACAAAAGGTGTTAAAGGACTTGGCTGCAGTTGGGGGAGGAGGGGGACAGTGCTCAGGTCCCTGTGGTGATATCCTTGGGAGTGACCTGGTAAAGCCCCAGGGCTCCACAGAAGCCACTTCCAAATGGCCCATGGCCTCTCCACGGATTTTTGTCTCTCTTTCTCCCTGGGGCTGTTTCCCATCTACCAACCTCTTCCGTAGAGTGATGACAGCTGGAGGTCCAGCCACCGGCACCCCTCTCCCCTCTCCCCTCTCCCCTCTCCTTCCCACAACACACCGGCCAGTTGCAGCTGGGGAGGAATTGGGCGTCAGGTGTAGGGCCCTGAGGCCTGGGGTGGGGTGGTGTGTGGGGTGCGAGGTGGGGGAACTGAGCTCCTGTTTACAGTTGTTCTTGGCACCTGCTGGTAGGGACCTGCAGGTAGCCATGGCAATCAGGTGAGGAGCCAATCAGTACTTCTCCCCGCCCCCAGCCCCAGAAGTAGCAGTGTGAGGCCCCTGGGGATGAGGTGGGGGGAGAGGGAGTGCTGCAAGGGGGCCTGTTCTTACACTAGAGAAGGAGGAATATTTCATTCACTAAGCACCACAGCTCCTTCCTTGACCCCTGCATCTAGAAGGGATAATCTCTGTCTGAGTTCTCACGCGTGCTAAGGGAAGTGAAAGGGTAAAGGTCATGGCCACTTGCCTGGGAACTCCTGTTGGGGGGGGAGCCACAGTCAGGAACTGGATGGGAGTTCTTAAGAGAAAGTGTCTTGTTTCGAAAACACAGCCAGTGTGTGAATGAGGGGACTTAGGCAGGGGAAGCACGTGTGTGTGTATGTGTGTGTGTGTGTGTACCCATGTGCGTGCATGTGAGCGGGAGAGACGGTGGTGTGACACCCAGCATCACCCAGAATGTGCCGTTTCTGGCCGTGCATGCACACACAGATTCAGCTGGACCCGAACACGGGGTCCCAGACGTCACGTCCACATCCCATGGATATTACACACACTCAGCGAGACAGCCACTTGGAGTTTGCTCTCTCCTCTGGATGGTTGTAATAATATTTGGGCATCTTGCCAGGGAGAGGGTTACCATGGAAACGAGCAAACAGTGGAGTAGCCGGGATTGTGAAGGGGGAGCCCTTGCAGGGAGGGCTGGGGGCCGCCCTCTGTGGGACAGGCACCTCTCTCCTTCCTTAGGCCAGGCCTGCACTTCCCGGCCGCGGCGTCTCGCTGCCTCTCTGGGCTCACTTGTTTCCCTCTGTCTGCCCTGCAGACTTGGTGTCTCTCCCACATGTGGCCTTTGTGTCTCTCCATCTCTTTCGGTCTCTGGCCAGCCTCTATTGGCTGTTTGGGTCCTGGCCAAACTCATCCTGGGGTCTCTATAGAAACTGTTGATCCTGGCTGTGAATTTCTGGTCCTAGAAAACCCGATGTGGTGGCTTTAGAAATCTTTCTGGAAAGGAGAGAAGGGTGTGTGTTGTGAAGGAGTCCTTGGGGCTTGGCCACCCTCCCGAGCCCCACCCCTTGGGCTTTTCCTCTGGGAAAGAGTTGGGCGGGGGGGGCTTCCTTTCTAGGTGCAGGTTTGATTTCTATACCAAGAAGTTAAGCACATCAGCCAACCCAGAGCTGGGCCTTGATTGACCTCCGCAGACCCTGCCAAGGCCTGGCTGGGTGCTCGGGGCTGCTGCGGAGAGAACTTTCTGCCCAGCCTTGGCAGGCATCTCTGAGAGCTTGGGGGTCTGTCACTGGACAGCCTGTGGACAGGTCGCAGCCCATGGAGATGGTGCCCACGTGGGGCAATCCCTGTGTGTACGTGGGATAGGGGTCCTGGAATGTGTGTGGGATCCAGGGGACCTGTGCAGGGGGCGGTCCGGCCGGGAAAGGTGGCTAAGTCTTTTTTGCCCAGGCTCTTGGCCATGACCTGCCGGGGCCGGGGTCCGACTGGGGCTGCGTGATCCCCGCTGTGGGCATCGAAAAACCATCCTTAGTATTTCCTGCCTGAGCACCAGGCCTAGCACCTGCATGGCCAGTGTGCGGTGGATTTCCGGGAAGCTGCTCCGGGGCCAGGCTGGATGCAGAGCTAGGACAGGCGATGGGGTGCTTCCTCTAAACTTAGGGCAGCCTGTGCCCACGGTGTTTCCAGGGCTGCCTTCCTGGGGGAAGAGTGATGGGATGGAAGGAGGGTCGGATGGAGTAGAAACACCGAGGCGGGGGCTTGCACCTGGGTAGAGGGGGATCGACGTTCCTCAACTCCTAGCACTCATTTGAGAGAATGTGGATGGGGATCAGGGAAGTTTTTAAAAACTCTGTTCTCTCGCATTTTCCCGCCTCCCTGTATCCTCTGGAGAGTTGGTCTCACTTCAGTCTTTGCTCCTGCTCTTGAGATGGAGCCTGACCTTGTCAGTCAAGGTCACATGAATCTCCAGAGCCCCCACGCCCAGTGAACACTCAGAGGGGCCCGGTAGAGGCGGCCCCGTGTGTGGTCGCCAGTCTGGCCTCAGAGGCAGAGAGAGCAAGGGCCTCGGGCTCTGGGACAGATACCGGGTGGTGTGGAGGGGACTGTGGGAGGGGCCGTCGGATCTCTGGGTTTCTGATTCCACTTTCCGTTCTCAGGGTGACGCTCCCCAGGCCCCCTACCCCCCACCCCGGCATCATGCATCGGACCACACGGATCAAAATCACGGAGCTGAATCCTCACCTTATGTGTGCCCTCTGTGGAGGGTACTTCATCGACGCTACCACCATCGTGGAGTGCCTGCATTCCTGTGAGCTGGGTGGAGGGGCCGCTTCTCGGGGTGGGCAGTCTCTGCCCAGGTTGGAGGGGCACTGCTGCGGGGAGGGCTTGTGTCCATGTGTCTGGTGGCGGTCCCTGGTCGCAGAAAGACTGTCCGGCGGGGGAGACTCGAGGGGGCAGCCCAGAGTTTCACCTGAATGCTCAGGTGTCTCCCAGAGTCCCTGGCCGCCCCGTAAGACACAGGTGCCCCTGGCATGCACTCCGGGCTTGGCGGCAAGGGGGTCGGGGACGCTGGGAGGCGTCCAGCAGGCTGGCTGCTGGGCTGCGCTCCCTCAGACTTGGGGCTCACTTTCTGCCTGGTGCACGGCGCTGGTCCGACCCAGACACGCACACACGCCCTCCGGGACGGATCAGGGGCGATTGCCATCTGTGGAAAGCAGGACTATGTTGAGCCTCTGAAGGGGCTGAGCTGTGGGGACAACGTGGAGAGGAGGGGCAACCTGGATGTGAGCAGAGGCCGTGGGGGCGTGCTGGTCCTGGATTACGAAGGGGGCTCTGACTCTGCTTTCTTTCTCACCCTCCCCCACAAGTCTGCAAAACCTGCATCGTGCGCTACCTGGAGACCAACAAATACTGCCCCATGTGTGATGTGCAGGTCCATAAAACCAGGCCGCTGCTGAGCATCAGGTGGGCCTGGTGCTGTCCGTCCTGCCATGCCGGTCCTCTGTCCCTCAGCCCTCCTTGCTTCCCATCGCCGCGGGGGCAGGTTGGGGAGAGGCACAGGGTGTCAGCCCAGGGCCCTTCCTCTCCCTCTGTCTTGTATCCAGCTTGTCCAGGCTGAGAAATACCAGAGGGGTAAAGACCATGCCTCTAGGGACCCTGACGCCTGGGCCCTGGATCAAGGAAGGGAGGTGGGAATGGGGGTTCCTGGCCGGGCAGATCAGGGTGAGGTGGTCGTGGATAGGACTCTCTATGTTTTTTTCCAGGTCTGACAAAACTCTCCAAGACATCGTCTATAAATTGGTCCCTGGGCTTTTTAAAGGTACCCACACACCCTTCATCCTGACCCCCGCCCCCCACTGCCCTGCCTGGCGCTCCATCCTCACCTGCCTCCCTCTTCCAGATGAGATGAAACGACGGCGGGATTTCTATGCAGCGTACCCCCTGACTGAAGGTGAGTGTGTTTACCTGTCTGTCCGCGCGAGCGCTCGCAGTGCTGCCCCGGGCACGCGGGCTGGACGCACCAGGCTGTCCGTCTTGCACATGACATACCAGCTCGCCGCTGCCCCGGCCCACAGGATGGCTGGGCTCACCCCGCCGAGCTCTGAGATCCCGGGGTCCTTGGCGGGTCTCCTTCCCCCGTCCTGGGCCAACCCCTCAGAGCCCTCTCCTTCCGCAGTCCCCAACGGCTCCAATGAGGACCGCGGCGAGGTCCTGGAGCAGGAGAAGGGGGCTCTGAGCGACAACGAGATTGTCAGCCTCTCCATCGAGTTCTACGAAGGTGTCAGGCAAGTCTGACCCACACCTGGTCTTTTGGGGTCCTAGGTTGGGTCGCCCCTTTTTCCCACCCTGGCCCCCTTCCCCTAGGAAGAGAAGGTACCTCCGGGAGGGTCTTCTGGATGTGTGCATTAGGGGATCCCCCCTGTTCCAGGGTCTCCCTAGCTTCGTTCTTTGTCCTCCACCAGGGACCGGGAGGAAAAGAAGGGTCCTCTGGAGAATGGGGATGGGGACAAGGAGAAGGTGAGTGCTGGGGACCTGCTTAGGAGTGGGATGTGGGCTGGGAAAGAGTGCCTGGGATGGACCCCAGCCCTTGGGTGCCTCTCCCCCGGCAGACAGGGGTGCGATTCCTGCAATGCCCAGCGGCCATGACCGTCATGCATCTCGCCAAGTTTCTTCGCAACAAGATGGATGTGCCCAGCAAGTACAAGGCGAGTCCCCGGGCCCTTTCAGAAACTAAGTGTCTGTGTGTGGCTGTCTGACAATCTGTGCGTCCCAGCCATTGCTCTGAGCTGGCTCGGTGTCCTTGAGGGCCTGCATGGTTGTGTGATTGAGCTCGAGTTGAAACCAAGGTCAGGGTGGGGTAGTCTTCATCCATTGAAACCAGTGTGCAGAGGTGTATGGGACCAAGATGGAGGGTGTGTGTGTGTGCGCGTGTGCACACGCTCATGCTTACACGCTCAGAACTGTGGCAGAGGCATGTGTGCAAAAATACTGGGTCTTATCTGGGGCCAGCTGGCTGAAGGAAGGCCAGTCTGAAATTCCAGCGGCGCTGTCGGACATTGCTTCTCAAATTTGAATGTGTCGGTGAGTCTCTGAAGCTCTTGTTAAAGCGCAGATTCTGATCAGTAGGTTCTGCTGTTCTAGCAAGCTCCCAGGTGCTGGCAATGCTGCTAGTCTGTGAACCACACTTTGGGTATCAAGGCTCTAGGACAGTAGATCCCGAACTTTGCTGCAGATCAGAATCACGCAGGGAGCTTTAAAACCCGATTTACGTCCTACCGATTAAATCAGAATCTCTGGTGAGATCCAAGCACTGGTATTTCTTTTAAAGCTCCCTGGGTCGTTCCACTGCAGCCTGGGTGAGAGTTAGTGCTCTGCGAGATCTTCCCCACCTGGGCTTTTTCTTTGCCCCCTGGAGGACCTGCCAGAGATATAAGGGGACCCAGACAGCTGTGTGGATGGCTGCGGGCAGGGGTTGTTAATGATCTGGGTGCTTTCTCTGGATCCTTTCCCCTCTGGTGGTCAGGAGTTCTGTTGGGACAGGTCCGGGAGGGAAGTCAAACCCACCATGAAACCCCAGAGAAATAAGGGAACACCTGCTAGTCCCTCCTCCCCAGTGTCCCACCGCCCACCCCTAGCTTAGAGCCTCATTGCCAAATGGCTAGAGCCTTGAACCTGACCGGGGTCATGGTGTCCTCCGTCTCCTCCTCCAGGTGGAGGTTCTCTACGAGGATGAACCGCTGAAGGAATACTACACCCTCATGGATATCGCCTACATCTATCCGTGGCGGCGGGTGAGCTGAGCAGGGCGGAGCCGGGCGAGGACAGGGCTGGGAGGGGAGCCGTGCAGGGTCTGGCGTCGGTCTGTGGCCACAGTGACCACACAGTGACCGGTAATCCCCGTTCGCGCCTCGTCCCATGAGCTGGGCGTGTCCAGGGTGGCCTGCCACACCAGGCCAGCGTCCGGGCCATCTTTCGATGATGACCTGCCACACTCGAAGAGGATTCTTTGGCAGATGACGTGCCCTGATTTGGGTCAGAGAGGAGGGCCGGGTGGCTGTTGGGGAGTAAATGTTGCTCCCTGCTTTTCAGCCTCCCTGTCTCTGCAGCCTCTGGCCTTGCACGTTCTTTCTGCCTCTCCGGGTCTTTGTGTGCCCCTGTATCTCTGGCCTTGCTCGGTCAGTCTTGCTGTGCCTGTCCCCTTCTCTCCAAGGCCTGGAGCCCTTTCTTCCTGTTTGGGCACGTGGGGTGAGGGTTGGGTAGCTGCCGGGTTAGCCTCTTTCTCCTGACATCCTCCCCTTCCCTGCCTCTCTCTGCCCCCTCTCCCGGCAGAATGGCCCTCTCCCCCTCAAGTATCGGGTCCAGCCGGCCTGCAAGCGGCTCACCTTGCCTACAGCGCCCACCCCCTCGGAGGGCACCAACACCAGCGGGGCGTCTGAGTGTGAGTCAGTCAGCGACAAGGCTCCCAGCCCTGCCACCCTGCCGGCCACCTCCTCCTCCCTGCCCAGCCCAGCCACCCCCTGCCATGGCTCTCCCAGCTCCCACGGGCCCCCAGCCACCCACCCTACCTCCCCCACTCCCCCTGCGACAGCCGGTGGGACCACCACAGCTGCCAACGGGGGTACCTCGAACTGCCTGCAGACACCATCTTCCACCAGCAGGGGGCGCAAGATGACTGTCAACGGAGCTCCTGTGCCCCCCTTAACTTGAGGAAAGGGACCCTCTCCCTCCTTTTCCAGCCATGCCTCTCCACCCCTCCACTTTTTCTGGGCCCCTTTTCCACCTCTTCTACTTTCCCCAGCTCCTCCCGCCTTAGGGGTGGGGGGCGGGTTTTATAAATAAATCTATATATATATGTACATAGGAAAAACCAAATATACATACTTATTTTCTATGGACCAACCAGATTAATTTAAATGCCACAGGAAACAAACTTTATGTGTGTGTGTATGTGTGGGGGGTGGAGTGTTCATTTTTAGGAGGTCTTGTGTAATTTGCCCTGCTCTCATATTGGGGGTGCCTGGAGGTGGACTGGAGGGGCCACCTGAGGCTCAGTAAAGCTCCGCTCCATCCTCCTTCCGTTTCCCAAGGCAGATGGGGTGTTCCAGGAGCCCTACCAGCCCCCAAAGCTTTAGGCACAACTCCAGCCGGCTGTGTATGGGGTCTCCCCTCTCTGCCCCCATCTCGGCTGCTGTCCTGCCCCTGCCAGTGCCCCCCGCCCCCATTGTTGAATGTCCAGAGAATCGCTAAGACAGTGCCTTTTACAAATGCAGTTTATCCCCTGGTTCTGAGGATTGAGTGGGTGGTAAAGATGCATCTCCCTCACCTCCTCCTCTTGCAGTGGAAACTTTGTGCAAAGAATAGATAGTTCTGCCCCCCCACCCCCGTGTATGTGGCCTTTGCATCATTTATCTTGTGGAAGAAAAGATTCAGGCCACGGGAGGCCTCAGCCCTTGAAATTCCACTGTGGCTTTAGCAGGGTAAACGCTTGGCCCGGTTCTGCCCCTGCCCCTGCCCCGACCCCGGAGCCCCGACAGGCAAGGCTGGTTTTGGCGAAGTCCCCCCTGGGGGCCCGGAGTGCAGTGAAAAGGTGGAGTGGGGTTCATCTCAAGACAAGCACAGATCCCAGATTGTGCCAAAGGCCAACGGTCCTCCAGTCCCCTCCCCACCCCCAGCTGAGGCTGAGTCAGGACAGAGCCGCAGAGGCATCGAAAAGCACAAGAAGGTGGAGACCTTTAAGCTCTGACCTTGGCTCCATCCCGAGAGGTCAGTGGATGGCCCCCCGAAGGGCGGACCCCAGCAGATCCCTGCCCACCTGTTTTTCCTCCAATGTACATAGATCAGATCGGGGAGGAGGTGAGGAGGCAAGATTCCCTTGCAACCTAGGTGTTTGGGGTCGGGAGCCCCCCCATCAGGTTTGTCTGTGTTTGCGCCTTGTCCCGTGTCCGAGGTGCCGTGACTGTACCTTCCTCCTGCCCTGGGACATTTGTATCTCCTGGCTTTGTAATAAATGCTGCATACTCTCCGGAAGCTGTAGTTCTTTAGGGGACAGGGAACGGGTGGGTGAGGCCTTTGGCCGCCTCCTCCTCATGTCTCTCGTCTCTGGGCTTGGCCTGCCTTGCGAGGCCCTATATGGAATGAATGTGAACTGCCCCCTCCCTGCGGCCAGTCAGATGCCCCATCCCAGGTTAGGACCCCGAGTGGGGGTAGGCCGTGTGCCCCCCACCAATGACCACAAGAGCACCGCACTGGGTGGGCACAGTGTTTAATACCACCTTCGCCAGCAGGTGATGAGCCAGGGGTGTGTTCCCTGGCTGCCCGAGAGACCTCAGGTATTGGGAGCAAGCCCTTCACAAGCCAGCACTGAGGACTGGGGTCCCTGGGTGGTCCCTTCTTGGGCTCAGCACTCCGTTTCCTTCCCCACAAGTGGGGTGCCTGCCAGAGGCCTGGGGCTAGGCGGCAGCCAGGCCCTCAGGGTGGGGAGCCCACTTCTGCCTTCTGCACCCGCTCACTCCGGTGGGTGCCATCACAGTATGGGGCCTTCTGGGTGGCCTTGCAGGTGCAGAGGGCCACTGTGCGGGTCTCCTGGGCCTTGAACTTGAGTGGGGACAGGCCAGTGCGTTGGAAGAAGTGGGAGCCGTCACAGAAGGGCTGGTGAGGGAAAGAGAGACGTTAGAGACCCAACCCCACGTGCTGGGGTGGGGCAGGTCTGGAAGGAAGGGCACGGGCACGCTGTGTCTAGGGCTCGGGCTCCTGGGTGCGACCGCCAAGGTGTCCTCGTTGACCTCTCTCATCTGAGGGGTGAGAGGAGAGCCGTGCCAAGGAAATGGAATAAATGGTGGTTCTTGGGCACTTTGCCCACTTAAGTAGGAGGCTTTACAATATTTGTCTCTGGGGGCCCCAGAAGACTGGGATACGGGGACAGAATTTTCAAGGTAAAGCGGGACTTTTGGTATCAGCAATGTTTACACTGATAGTTTTGTTTTGTTCTTTCTTAAAGTCTCTGCGTCTCCACTAGCTCATAAATTCATTTCCTTCCACATTTTCTCAGGGTAAAAACTTCTCTGCGTGGGAGAGAACCTACATGCCTCACAATGCTTTGCGACTGGGGTATCCATTTTGTTTGGCTCCGGGGAAACAAGGGGGCATGTTACGGGGAGTGGATGTGGCAGGGAGGAAGGGTAAACCGGCTGTCTGGTGCAGGAGAACATTCCCCATCCTCCCTGGAAGCTGTTCCAGCAGAGACTGGGTCATGGAAACTGGCTTTGACTTGCTGACCCTTGAGGTCAGGGTAGGGTGGGAGGAGAGATGAGAGAAGTCCGCAAATAAAACCCAGTAACCTGCCCCAGCGGGCAGAAGGCAGGAAGGCAGAGGGCCAGCCTGCACTAGGCCACAGGGCGGAGGGCACTCCTCTCGTGCTGCCGCGCCCTCGGGCCGGACTGCGCCCAGCCAAGTCCACAGCCAAGTCCGGGGCAAAGCAGGACTTGGGACCTGGGCTTCACACGGCTTCGAGGCACACAGTTCAGAGCCCAGCTCAGGAAGGAAAGGGGCCCAGGAGGCTGGGCATATGGGTCAGGTTCCGGCTGGAAGGAAGGCTCCTGGGGCGGAAGGGAGAGGGAGGTGAGAGCAGGTAGCAGCAGGGAACCAGGGAACCACCCTCAGCCGAGAGAGGGAGGGGCTGCAGGAGACAGTGGAGAGGGGCTCTTGGGAGCAGGAGCGCCCGCGGTCGTCCCAGTGTTAGGGTCCAAGGCCTGGGAACCTCTGGCTCAGGTGCTTCCTGGAAGGAGGGAGAGAAGAGGGGAGAGAGACAACCCGGCGCCTGGGTGCTTAGAGCAGGGAGTCCAGGCCGAGGCTCCAAGGAGGGCGCACCGGAAGCGGGGGACATGACCCTGGGCTCCAGCGGCCTGGCCATGAGACTGACCTTCTGTCTCCCTGGCCTCATCTCAAAGGGTGGATACAGGGAACAAGGAGCTCAGGGCTGTGGGTGGCACTGGCCTGAGAGCGTTCCTTCACCCCCAACCTCCCTTTGTTGTCCTTCAGATATGTGTGGGAAAAGAGGAGGATCTCGGGCAGGAGCTCCCAGAAGAGACCTACTGTCCCAACCAGGGTGTCCTGTGTTAATGAGACGTGGGTAGGGGGCTCTCACCTGCTTCTTGCTGCGGCCACACACACACCATCTGTAGGTTTTCCCGGCTACCAACTCCACCTTGATGGGCGTTTTCAGGGCCACCACGGACTTGGCTGGGGTTTTAGGGAACCATCGGATCTGTGGCATGGGGAGACGAAGGGCTTGGGGTCAGCCCATGCCCTGGAAGCACTTTCCTGCCTATGCTGGAAAGTGGCCCTGGCCTAGGGCAATCTTCCTCTGCAGGAGGCAGGATGCCACCCCACAAGGGCATTCCCCAGGACACCATAAGGACCCTGAGCTTCAGACAGGGAAGAGATTTCAAGCCCACGCAGGCACTCCAGTTTCTGCGCCCAGCGGCCTCCCTTTCAAACTCCCACCTGGGGGCCAGGAAGGGGAGGGCCAGGATCCTGCCAGCCTAAGTGGGGTCACCTGCCCCTGGCGCTGTGTTTATCAGGCACTGCTCTTCCCAGCGGAGAAGCCTGCCTTCCTGCCCTGGGCCCTCTGGTCACCCCACCTCCCCCGAGCCATCATGAAGGGGACGACAGGCAGGGGCCTTCTGACACTGGAGGCTGGGAAGTAGGGCTGACCCCTTCTGGTTGGTTCTCTGGTTTCTACCTTTGGCGTCTCTGGGCCTGGGGGACTTGGGCGGAGGGAAGGGGAAATGGGGTACTCACCAGCCAGGAGGAGATGTCCCGCCTCTGGTTCAGCTTCTGAAAGGTACGCAGGCAGGACTAGACGGTGGTTTGGAAGCAGGGTGGGGGGAGAAAAAGTCAGTGGAAAGCGTTGGATTTCCAGAGGGAAGTCATCTGGAAGGGACGAGACGCCAGGGATTGGGGCGTAGGAGAAACAAGAGGGTAAGAAAAAGGGGTCACAAGACAGGAAGTGGAGGTGCTGGGGGCTGCTGGCTGCACCCGGCCGGCGCTCAGAGAGGGAGGGCTGCAAGGCACCAGGCGAAACGGGAGTTGGGGACGCTCAGCAGGGAGGCAGCGGGGACGGGGC